AAAAAAAAAAAAGAAACACTTTGCAAGGGTAACGGGATCAAGGCCGAATTCCTAACATCTATATAATCAAGACACTAATTGGGTCGGGTCTACACATGTCCAAACAAAAAATGAAAAAAAAAAAGATAACAACTAAAACAAAAGTCTGACCTGGGCAGACAGGTGCCCAGACGAGCACACTACAACATAAAGTGCGCCAAAGCATAAAAGTACAGAACGACTACTAGAATCTGAATAAAGGGTAGCCATCTTGGACCATCTGCACAAGAGTACAAAGGCGAAGAGGGGCGTCGTCCAGGTGGAAAGTGCGCCTCTATGGAGTGGAGGCCCCGAGCTCGCTTTTCCTAGCGAAAGATGTGCAAGATCCAGTAGCAGAATGAGTGAAGTGTGGATCTCATGTGCATGAGCGGGTGTTGATCTACCACGAGCCCTAGTACCCCGAGGTCAAGAGGGTGGTGACATTGGCAACACCCAGATCAATCCAAATGTGAGTAGAGATAGAGGCTTCAATCTGAAGACTGATCTGGAGCGCTTGAACCCCTGTGTTGTAGCTCAAGATGGCTTGAAGTGGGGCGTGGATGGCGGTAATGAGAGCTCCACTGTGATCCCCAACCAGGCCTTCGCCTCCAGCGGTTTCGGTGAGTCGGCCGAAAGATCCGTCGGTGTTCAGCTTAACTCATAGAGAGTCGGGTCTCAGCCAAACAACGGCCCAAAGCTAGACATGCGGCAGTGGAGACGACACGAAGCGGTGGGGCAAGTCCGGTCTCTAGGCTTGAGTCTGCCCAGAGCTGTGAGGAGGGAAAGATGTCGATCAACCTGCAAAACAGTGTGAGAGCACATAAATATCCTTATGATTTAAAATATGATGTAAATATACAGAATAAACTATACATGTATAAGCTTATTTATCTTGTTTATTATTATTTATTATATATATGATATTTCTAGTAATTCGAGCTATTCTTTTATGTATAAAAACTATTAATTAATCATATTTATATATGTGATGCTCATACTTATAAAGATGTAAGATTTACATATTATATAAAATACATAAAATCGAAGAAGTAACAAAAAGTTAGGTCCTAAATTATATGCCTATACTCCATCTTTATTCTTCAATATCTATAAAAATTTAAAGATATTTTATTTACTAACTTATTATTTTGGAACATGTATTTTTTGTATATTTATTTGCATCTATAGTTATTAAATGTGCGGGTAATCAGGCGGGTAAAAACACAGGTGGGGCAAAAAGACCTACCGGGAGTAGTGAGTTTTTTATTAAACATGTACCCGGCCCGACCCGATCCGCGGGTATAGAAAAACCCGAGTACGACACGCGACCTGTTATTTCCAAGTCTACCTGACCCGATTTTTCGAGTTACCCGCACATAACTGACCCGGTGGGTTTTTCTAACATCCCTACGTATAACACACCTTTTATAACTGCAAAAATTATACAATTTTTTTATTTGGTAGAATTATTAATTTACCTTTATACCCTTATGAATTTTATTAAAAAAATTAAAATATTGTCAAGGTGATTCAAATATGAGTTACAATCGAATAAACATGGCCAATCAATCAATCACTTGGCCCTAAGTACTCATTTATATCGCAAATACTTAGATGCGCCCTGGCACACTGATGCGGAAGTGGATTTTGAGCCCCAACGACGAGAAGGTCCAAGAGCCGAGAAGGCTCGAGAAGGCCGAGAGAAGGGCCAAAACTATGCATGCATGGCCTAAGAGACGG